GTTTGCAAATGTCCTCTATCAGAGACTGAGACCTCACAGTCCAAGAAAGCCAACCTGCCATTTTTTACATCTTCTCATGTGAACTTGATGTATTTATCCACAGAGTTGATGTGGTCAGTAAAATGTTGGACTTCCTGAGATTTAATTTTAACCCTGTTTATAAGACTGAGTTTGCTGCAGCTTTTCAGACGGAAGTTTTTTGGATAAAAGACGAAACGTTTCAGCAAAGAAGAATCCGTCCATTTTCTCATGTTCTTTTCAGTGTATTCTAGATTGAACGTGAACGGCTCCTTCATGCACTAAATTAATGTGTACGTTCTGTTTTGTTTCAGCACGTTGACGATAGGAATATTAAAAAAGAAATATATGGCCCATGTGAAATGTGATTCATTAAGTCCTGAAGCAAAAAAAATCATGAAATCAGTGGTGGAAGAAGAACTTGTGAAGATGCAGGTACTTTTAACTTTTAAGTAGTGAAAATGTATCCGTTTTGGAAGAAATTGTCATTTTTTTCATTACAAGTCAGGAAGCAAAAAGTAAAAAAGAACTCTTTCTACTTTTCCCCTATGAACAAGTAAAACACTGGTATAAAATTATGAAGCTGTTTATTTTATAAATATTGTAGTAGTGGTGATTTTTTTTTTTGCTTTGTTTGAGGATAAAATTTATTGTTCTGCACTCATTATAATTAACTGATGTATTTTCTAGAAAAATGATAAAAGTGAAAGTGATTCTGAGAATGAAAAGCCCAAGAATAAAAGAAAGAGAGAAAGGGAGCAGAAAAAGGAGGGAAGTGAAGAAGAAAACCCCACAGCAAAAAAATCACGATCCCATCATTCAAGCTCATCATCAGGTAGTTGTAGCTTTTGTTTGTTTTTGTTATCTTTAAATGTCTCCCGTTAATTATTAGACAATTCAGCTACTGATGCAAGCAGTGACTGTTGTTGGATCCACATTATTTCTTGATTATTTAGTCTAAAAATTTAAAAGATTTCTAATAGCTGGTCATCATGAAGGACAAGAACAAACTGCTGTAACCATTTGTAGACTACATGTTTCAACAGAGATAAATACCTAAACTTATATTAATTACATTTTCTGCTTTAAAAATATAATAATTTCAGTTTCTCTTCAAAATGTTTCGTTATGAGTGAGCACTATGTTTTACCTAGATATATGTACTCATAAAACAAACGAATGTTAAAAAGATAATCTCTCTGTCGCTAGCAAACTAAAAGTAAAATACAGTATTTTCCACCGTGCACGTTCCACCGCCCTATAAGTCGCATCAGTCCAAATATGTCAAATACAGTGGAAAATCCATGAATGCGTCGCTTCGCCGGATTCGTCGCATTTATTATGCGTCACCACTGACGTGTCACGTTTATTACGCATCACCGCAGACAACCCGGAAATGTGGGCCGGTGTTGTGCCAAAAATCGATTGGCTGCCAAATGGCGGTCGTGGCAGCGTGCACGAGAGGATTTTAACAAGAATTTAACAAGATTAACAGTAAAAAAAAACAATTATTTGTTTGCTCAAAATTATAGTAAAGGTGTGTCTCGGTTTAACTTTTGCTTAATAAATTCACTTTGACGGTCAAATCAGCTGCATTTCAAAAGCCAATTTGCAGCTGAGGGGTGAGTCACTGTGCTTTTCTTGAAAATTTAACAAGATGAGCACCTAAAACAATTATTTGTTTGCTCGACGTTATAGTAAAGGTGTGTCTCAGTTAAACTTTTCCTTAATAAATGCACTTTAATGGTCAAATTAGCTGCATTTCACCTGGGTGGTGCAGCGAAATGAAGCCGGTTTGATGATGCTTGCTCCAGGCGAGCTGGACGAAGGTGGCTGCTGTGGCAAGCCGATTATGTCATTAATAGCCACTTTTTACCTATTACATGACACAACGGCGTGCCATATTACTCGACTGCCATCTAGTGGCTGAAAATTGTAGTGTTCAATATTTTCAGTCAGAATGAATGAAAACGGTCATATCTCAGCCAAAAATTGGTTTATGAATATTGGAAAAAATCTATAAATACGTCGCTTTGGCATATAAGTCGCAGGACATGCAAATTATGCGAAAATTACGGTTCCAAACAAAGACATTTGCACTAAATAGCGTCAGGCTGACAACAAAGCACCACACGTCCTTTATGCACCAGAACATCCTTTTGTTGTTGAAATTTTATTACGCATCTCTAAATATTTAGTGCACCATATAGATATTTTTCTAATAAACTTGAACACGTAAAACCTGCTAACGTGACCCGTGTTTATATCATGGTAACATGTTGGAGCACAGGGTGTTAAATAATGAACAGATACTGGAGTTAGATTTCTAATCTACAACTACCGGAATAGTTCAAACGTTGTAGATTATAATTCTAACCAGAATCTTTGCTCATTATTAAAGCCCCTTGATTTCAACATGCTTGTTACATGTTCAAAAGAATTGTTTTAAAAATAAATAAAGTTGTTTTGTCTCTAAGCAGGTAGTTACTGAAGGACAGGTTGACAGCACATAAATATACATGAAACTGGACCAAAGATTTAACACTTAACGTTTTCCAGTGAGACGTGCTCGCTGATACCTAAACCACCACCATGCCTAGTTTTCTGATTTCTGGTTATCATGGTGCATTCAGTGTCTCTCAAATGGGACCTAATGTTCATAGAAGTCTATGGTTCTTCCTGTGAAAGTTGGCTTGTTTTTGCCCCTTTTTTTTTTTTTAAACAATGCCTTAAAGTTTACCTTAACATTACACATGTATATTGGCTTGTTGCAGAATTTTATCAACTGAAATAAACATTTGTTTCACTTATATGACTTCATTGATGTCTTGGAGATGCATGATTGCGTCTAATCCACAGTGGGAAGGCTCTTTAAGGTTTTAGTAATACTTTCAAACGTCTGTCTCCGTCATTGCTTCTGTTAACTTCAAGATAAGTCCTAGAAGAGGTGACTTCATTTACTCAACTCTTACTTTGTAGAAATCATCTTCTTTTATTCTTGCATCATTATAAAAAACACGTCTCTGCCGTGTGGTTCGTTCCAGATTCAGAGGACGACGGAGACTGCAAGCTGGGAAGTTTGAAGCGAAGACAATCTCAAGCCGATGATGGAAAGCAAGAGATGAAAAAGTCCGCCCCGGAAAGAACTGGCAACACTAAACATCAGAATACAAGTGACGAGTCCTCAGATGAGGAGGTGAATGAGTCGGAAGAAAGCAGGAACACGAGTAACAGTCCAGAGGAAACTGTAAAAAAGAAAGCAAACACTTTGAAGAATGAAGAGAAGAGACGCGGCAGCCGAAGTGTTGGGAAGAAATCGGTAGAGAGTGATCAGGAGAGCGATTTGGATAAGTCAGAAAAAAGTGACAAACTCAATCACAGTGAATCTTCTGACAACGAAAAAGGTGTTTGTGCTAACTATTCCTATATGTGCATATACTTGTTTGATGTAGTGTTATGTAATGTATATTCTGCTCTTGTGTCTCATAGCAGAAAATGTGTTGATAGAAAAGAAAAACGAGTCGGATTCATCATCCCTGCCTTCTTTGGAGGAAGAGAATCGGAGTGGGAAAGAAGACGCACGAGATGAGAAGAAGAAAAAGAAAAGGGTGAAAACGGATCAGAGCACTCGAGGCCCAAAGGTGAGCCTACTGGTCATGAACTGAACCTGAATCAAAAATTTTTTACATTGTAGATGTACTGATTAACGTAAAGGTAATCATGAAACAAGGTTGATAACAAAACATGTATGTTGGAACATCGATGGGGTGGTTTGAAGAGCCGTTTATTTACTCCGTCCTCCAGGATGAGGACAAGGCAGTCATACGACTCAAACGTTACATTGCTCTCTGCGGTGTGAGGAGGAACTACAAGAAGCTGCTCGATGGCTGCCGCTCCACTCGCTCCAAAGTAGCCGTTTTAAAAAAGGAGCTTGAAGATCTTGGTGTCCACGGTCAGTGGTTTTTAACAGACAGATTAATTGCTGTTGTATTTTATAGTAAGATTTATTCCTGTTGACTTAATTTCTCAATATTTTATGTGTAAACGGTTAATTTTAGTAGTGTTTCTATCAACAAATTGATGTGCAACAGCTTAATGCTATGAGTTACAGTCATCTGTTTATTTTATGTAGGAAACCCGTCTATTGAGAAATGTAAAAAGATCAGAATGAAGAGAGAAGAAGACCAGGAAGTGGCCGAGCTTGATGTCGGCAACATCATCACAACAGAAGGTACCTGGTTGCCTCTTTGTTATTATTTTGTTATTTGTATGTTTTTAAAGGGGAGCATTGATCAAGTCTTTCTTTCAAGTGAATATGGAATACTTCAAATCCTGTTAGTATGCGCTCCTAATAAAATGGTGTCTTTCGATAAGCTTGATGTTATGTTTTAGGACGTCCTAAACGAAGAGGAACCTCAGCAAGGCAGGAACGGGACCCTCCTTCCTCCTCTTATCAGCGTACTCTGAACTCTGGCTCCGATAGTGATAGGGAAAACAATACAGATGCAGGACGCAGAAAAAAGTCTGACTGGGCCAACCTGCGAGGGATTATCAGCGATGACGCAGACAGTGACTAATACGCTTTTATGTGTTCAGTGTTGACTTGATATTAATGTTACTTTGTTGTTTGATGTTACTTTGTAATTTGCTACAAAACAAGAGTTTTTGTAAAACTTTTTTAAATAAAATATTAAAGTTGTTTTTGAATAGTGCTTTGAGTGCTTGGATAAACATTTTAAGTGTTTCATTTTATATAATCATATGAAATAAAATTAGAAAGAGAATTTTTTTTATTTTTATTTTGGGTAAACAAAATATATGAAACTACAAAATACATGTGTGTTATAAAGCAAAATGTGGGAAAAAAATAGACCATAATTAGGATACATCAAACAATACATTTTACCGCAGTTTAAGTCGGCATTCTCGTAGGCGGAACTAATTATTCAGGTACACGGAATGTTTTATCGATGGACTTGTTCTACAGAGTAATATGTCCGCCTCCAGTCCTTGAGGTCAGGGTTTACATTTGAACCTAAATGTCACTGTATTAGTCTCGTTTGGAAATTATAATGCTAGACAAATACTAATTTTACAATAAATTTGTCAAGACCTTTTTCAGCACAATAAAGTTTCGGCGCACAAAACGTTCCGTTATGTTATACCGCAGAAAGCTAACTCGGAAGTGTTTAATGAAGTCTAAAAAATTTTAATCTGGTCCTCTGCACATTTACCTTTTTTAGATTTTTCTACCTGGATTATTGAGCATGCATCCGAATGTTTAATGAAGTATTTTATGAAAAGTCCTACATCATAAAGCATTTGTAATCGATTATCTAAACGTTGAAACTAGCGTATGTATTCCAGTGTTGTAGAAAGTACCTCAGTGAAAAGTCAGTGAAAGTACAAGTATCTTACCATAAAATTACTTTGGTAAAAGTCAAAAGTTTCCTTTAAAATTATTACTTAAATAAAAGTCTTAAAGTATCGGACATTTAATGTACTTAAGTATCAAAAGTAAATTTCTCGTATAAAATGTACTTAAAGTAAGATTATTAAGTAAATGGTTAGAATTTGCATAACATGTATTGGGTGCAATGTCCAGTGACAAAAACTTGGAAAGTTTGAACTGAACAATGAAAGATTGCTCTTTAAAAAGTCTTGATTCTAATGAAGTATATTAATTCAACCTTTATAAACAAAGCTGTTAGAAAGCCCACATTGTTGTGTAGTTGGCTTGTTTATTGGGCTAGGTTCTGTTTGGTTATGGCTTGTTTCTTTCTGACTAATTAATAATATAGAATATTATAATAGCAGGGCAGCACGGTGGCGCAACTGGTAGAGCTGCTGCCTCTCAGCGAGCAGGTCCCTGGTTCAAACCCCGGTCCAGGGGCCTTTCTGGGTGGAGTTTGCATGTTCTCTCCGTGCATGCGTGGGTTTTCTCCGGGTACTCCGGTTTCCTCCCACAGTCCAAAAACATGCATGTTAGGCTGATTGGTAACTCTAAATTGTCCCTAGGTGTGAGTGAGAGAGTGAATGGTTGTTTGTCTCGTTTGTCTCTATGTGTCCCTGTGATGGACTTGCGACCTGTCCAGGGTGTACCCCGCCCCTCGCACAGTGATTGCTGGACATGGGCACCAGCGACCCCCGTGACCCAAAATGGAATAAGCGGGTAAAGAAAATGGATGGATGGATGGATTATAATAGCAGTTCATGTCCTGGAGAACACTAAACCTCTACTTTAGCAGCTACCATCATTTTCACACCTATCAGGAATGTGTCTCCACTGTGAGTCAACAAAGCTCTATTTTAACGATTGATATCTGCATATGCATCAAGCTTGTTCACAGTGGGAGCTGCTGTTTTCACACAAGCAGTGGGGGAGAGGCTGGTAGACTGGGAGAACAAACAGGCATTGCCCGATCAGATTTCTTCTAATTTTAAATTGTAACTAACTACAACTATAAGAAGAATATGTCTCATAGCATTGTATTTACTCAGAGATCACACTCTTCCCATGCAGTGATGGATGACGACACACCAGATGAGGGCCTCGCAGAGATCAGGAGCAGGCAGCTTGGAGGCTGGGGTCTTGTTCAGATAGCTGCTGGCACCGGGCTTGCTGTATATGCCATGTGGGTGGGAATCCTTCAACCAGGCTTCAGAAAAGTCCCACTGAGGTTACAGGTGTGATGTACATCTGAAGACTGTAGAAAAGATTGTACCTCTGAAGGTTATTCCTTTGCTCTTTAGCTCTTTAAATTTTCTTCCAGGTACCGTTTATCCCAGCCAGCAAAACTCAGGTACAAAATGTAATGACATTGCTGAGAGGACGACAGGGAGGTCTTGTAGATTTGGGATCTGGGGACGGTCGTATTGTAAGTAAGAGTGTATGCAGTTAAAGACGTTTTTTTCTTGCACATTTTAGGAACTTTTTGTTTTATTGTCAATTTTAACCCATGAGGTCTTGGAAGCCCACCGTCATGGTTTTAGTCCAGCTGTTGGTTATGAGCTCAACCCCTGGCTTGTGCACCTAGCTCGCTTTCATGCCTGGAGAGCAGGTCACCATGGAAAAGTTTCATACAGACGAGAAGATCTCTGGAAGGTTTGGCATTTTTCTGGTGTTCTAAATGTATTACTAGTACAATCCACCTGTCCAGTTCCAGTTATTTTAACAATTATCAGTTTGAGGTTAAAATGGGCTAAACCCCAAACAAACAAAAATATATTTAAAAAAGCAATAGTCATACTGCCTCTCAAATCTAAACTTATAACAAAATAATTAGCAACATTTTTGCAATAATCTGACCCAGCAAGGACACGAGATCTCATTTGTACTTGCCTTTTTTGTCCCTGGATTTGTTCTGACTACCTGTATTTCAAATTTAAAAAGAAAATGTATAAAAAATATATATATTTTGAGCTTAAGTGTAACACGAACCCACTGAGCAAGGAGACGTCTAAATGACGTCTTTTTTAAGTCGTTTTTGCACGTCTAATTTGGGTCCCTCCCAGGTGCAGACTGTTACGACAGACGACGTCTTTTTCCGACGTCCATTGGACGGTCAATATAGACGTATTTTCTACATCAAAATTTAACTTATTTTATTCACTTCAGATAATAAAATAATTAGTAAGTGCTTCGTGTTGTCTTCATTGTACGTTCCCATGCAGTGTTTAACACATTCACCCTCAGATGGATGTTGGAATGACTGGGGTTCAATCCCAGGACCTTCAGGTTTAAAGTCAGCTGCTCTGATGCTGCACATCTCTGTGCAGCAAACAAAGATAAAGAAACAGTATATTTGACCATCTATTGTGCAACAGGAAACCACGCACTGCAGATACTAGGTTTACAATTAAATCATCACTGCTTCAATGTCACTAGATACAGATGGACTAAGTTTTACAAATAAATCACTCCTTAATTTTTTTTCCTTTATCCTCTTTACTGGATTAACAGAAATAGCTTCGAGAGAAAATAGCAACAGTTGGTTTATGAATGAAGCCGTGCAAATTTATAATCATAAAAGAGTTACTGTGCACAGTTACTCTTTTATGATTGTAAATTTTATGGTTATAAAAATTATGATTCACTAAGGCACACCTGCACCTGTCTTGGATGTCTATACGACCTCCAAGTCCGACATTCAAACATTCGACTTTATATCGACGTACAAGTGAGGTCATGGTTAGACGTCCAGAGTGGACTTTGTTTGCACGTCTTGGAGACGTCCAGAATTGGTCTAGACCAACGGACTCAATATAAACGTGATCTGCACATCCATTCGACATCTAATGTTTAGTGGGAAGTACTGCATTGAACAAGAAGCAAATCTTAAAGTAAAAACAAAACATAAAAGATTTGCAACGCTGACATTATATAAAAGCAAAACAATTGGCAGCAACATCAAAATAGCTAAAGTACTGGTAATATACTGGTACACGAAATGCGTAAAACAAATTCATAAAAAAAAACCAAAATCTAAAAGTTTTTTTATTTGTCATTCGCACCAGATGTGGTGGAATGAAATTGTGTACACAGCATCCCAGTTACAGCCAACAAAAGTATACATTGTAAATAAAAAAAGTAATAAGATCTAATATATGAACTCAAAAACTATGCTAAAATAAGAATACATTAAGCACTAGTATTACTACAAAAACAATACGCTGAAGAACAGCAGCACTAAATATTGTGCAAAATTTTGTCTAAAATAAAAGTTATGGGAGCTTTAATTTGTGGGTAGTTGTGTTTAAACTTTACTGACATTGTAAAGCAGCCTTTCTACCCCCAGTTCATAGAGATGTTTTTTTATTTTGTTTTGGTTTTTGCTCATTTGTGGGACATTTTGTCCTGGTAAAGCAGTGAATGTTTAAGTAAATGCAATTTAAAAAAAATCTTTGAGAAATAGAGAAAGTTTATTTTTGGTGTGGTAACTTCCCAGATGCTTGTAGCTGAAATGCATGTTCTGTTTTCTATCACATCACAGGTCAACTTGACAAAATGCAAGAATGTCACTGTGTTTTTGGCTCCCAGTGTGGTGAGTAATGTAATGAATAAGTAGTTGTTACCCATACACGGGTGTGGTACAGACCCTGCAGACATTTTAGAAATTTATACATTTGTTTTGAAGCTAAAGGACCTTAGGGCAGATAGGAACCCCAACCTACTTATTGCCTACTAAATATTCTTCTTGTTCTTGTTTTCATTCATGAAAACACAGTTTCGCACATATTCTGTTTAGGTCAGGTGGTTAAAGTGAGGCTTAGAACTATAAACTTCTCATTTTTAAACAATATGAACAAAGTACTTTATTGTCCTCTTTTGTTCCTAGCTTTCATTACTGCAGGAGAAGTTGCAGGCTGAGCTTCCTGATGATGCCTTAGTGGTAGCTGGACGGTTTCCCTTACCAGACTGGAAACCCTGCAAGATCGAGGGCCAAGGTGTGGACAGGGCCTGGGCGTATAACATGCAAGCACAAAGACAGAAAAATGATGACCTTGTAGCAACAGGAAGTCATGCAGATAATGATATAATCAAAGTAAAACCATCCTAAAAGCACCTGGATGTTCCCTCCTGGGTTACACATGTAAAAATGTAACTTATTCTAACAACTTTTAAAAACATAACTTATTCTAAGAAGCACAGAAATGCATAATAATACAGTAAAATACAATTCATAAATATTGCTGATTTTAAACCTAATTTGAGTAATTTTTATTTGTATATAGTCAAGATAAAATACAACTAAATATCCCAACTTGAAATTTGTAAAATTTACATTTTAGGACAGAAAATATCTACCGTAGCTGTTACCAGTTCACTAAATTTAGGTAATTGTGGCGGCAAACAAACTATAAATTACATCTTGCACTGTCATTATATGTGTTTACCAAAAAAGAAGCCAAACTACAGAATCAGTTTTTTTTTAAGAATACACTGATTGCCTAGCATGTAGATCCACTTTTAACAAGAGTAATTTGAATTAATCATCTTCTGTGTGATCGTATCACACTCTCAGATTGTGAAACTAATTTGCTTGGACTTTGATCACCACAAATGCTGTTGTAGATTTGCTGCTGTGTTTAGTTTTGTTATCCTGTTGCATAAACCAGTTTCAGACTAGTTTTGTCTGGCGAACACCTTTATGTGTATCTTTAAAACATTTTGCCTTTCCATGGAGTTTACTGTCAGTTCAATGACTGTAAAGTGTTTTTTGAAGTGAACCCCGTCCAAATCAACAATTGTTTCCTTAAATATTCCAAAACAACAAAATATAACTGTATATATGATTGTAACATCAAGAAGAAGGAGCACGAGAAGCTCAAGAAATACAAGGGTCTGAAAGAGGAAATACAGAAGTTGTGGAGAGTCCAAAGTAGGCCCACTGGTCAATGGAGCAATGTGACCCCCCAAACTGGAAGTGTCACCAGCAGATCCCAGGAAAAACCTCATAATCTCTGTCCAGAATAATGCAGTCCCATGAAGAGTTAAAATACTGCGATCTGAGTTTGTCTTGAAGTGGAACCGCCCAAGTGGAAGAGTTGGGCAAGATCTAGATATATAGACCGACAAAATAAGGACACTTTGTTTTTATACCAGAATGTCACATGCTGTTGTCCATCTGTCTGAGGTTCTGTTTACCTACTTTTAAGGGTTGGTTAGAAGATTTACCATAGTTAACGTTCATTAATAATGCTTTAGGGTTATTCAGGCATATTTAAGGGTGTAAAGTACTTTTGATATGATGTTTCTAGCACTTAATGCTTTTTACTTTTTCTGTGGCTCTGGAATTATGCCATCCTTTTGTACAAAGTCTTTTCTCTACGGTCCAGATTATATGGTTCTCTTTTTAGTTATCTGCAGTGTTTTAGCCTGGTTTAATTCAGACTGTCATGAGCAACATTTTGGCTGATATTAAAATAATAAATCTACATTTGTTTTTTTTTTTAATTGACCTGTTTTAATGTATAAAAAGTCTGAAACAAATTGCATTTGAGTTAAAAGCAATGTATATTTTTATTGTTTTTAAAGTTATACTACGTCAACAGTCCCTGTTGTGTTTTGTAGTGTAGACAAGTATGTTAATGTACCTTTAGCCCTAGTTTTTCATTTGACAGAAACAAACATTACAAGTTTTTGTATATGCCTTGTTATGACAGCTGTAATGTTCACGGATTACCTTTTATAAATTGTAAATCCTATTTTATGTAAAGTCCAGCTGCGTTTAAATCAATAAATGTTTGTTGCACTGTTTGAATCTTGATTCAACCTAATTTAAAGTTGTCAACTCTTAGTACATTTATTCGTCAACATTCCTCTTTTTATGCCACTTTATAGATCTTATCATAAAAGGCGTTGCAAATGATAATTATAACTCCGCGTTTTGAACATTTTATGGTTTATTTTTAACCACACCGTGTAGTGTGAAAGATTAACCGGAAGTAGACGGTGTCTTTCTGTCACTTCACACGCGCTCATTGGGCTGGATGTGTCGAAAGCGGAAGTTGCGCATTAGACCCTGACCTGCTGCAGCTAGCTGTAGACTTGACTTGAGCCGCCCAAAGCCGTGAGAAAGAAACACAACAGGAACCACTGAATGCAGCAGTGCACAGTTTTAGCATAGAGATGTTTAATATATTTTTTAGATCATTTAAATTCTAAAGACGGGTTAACCGACAGCTAACAGAAGCATGACTACGGCTGACACGATCTACTAGCTAACCGAAAATTATGTCTTCATCCTTCTAGAAAAGCTAACAACTTAGCCATCCGCTACTGCGTTAGCAGCTAGGCGTTTTGCGTCGAAATGGCAAACGCCGAGCCCTAATCAATGCCTCACGTTTTACCGGTGCTGAAAGAGCCAAAGCTAGCTCAAATTTCAACAAAAAAGCAAGCTTCGCCGTTCATGCTAGCGACATATGGCGGTTAACTCTGCCGTAAGATAGCTGGTAAACGGTCAACCGCCTTCTTGTGTCTGCTGGTTGCCTTTTTTAATCCAAGAAGATTAAAAAAACAAGTATATATTTTATCGTGTTTCATATTTTAAAGCAAAGTCGAGTCCTTGACGTATTCAGAGCGCCCACCGGTGCAGACCACGATGAGGAGCTACCAGCAGCAGCACCGCAGCTAACGTTAGCACAGACCGTCCTGCCGGGGTAACTCATGTTGGCCTCTAACGGGAATTAATCAGACAACACTGAAGGACGCGCCCGGGCCAGCTCAACATGGTGAGTAAAATCTAACGAGGAAGACTTTGTCCAAATGTCGTCTTCCTCCTCTCCAAGCAGCTAATCTTATTGATGCCTGATTGGAGCCGATAAGAAGTCAGGGCTGATGTTTGTGATTAAACGTGTCTTCCGTGGTTGTTGGACCCATCTAACGGTTCGACCCGGTTTGTTTTGACAGCTCCGAGCCAAGACGCCCATCTTACAAAAGCGAATATTTGCTTTGCGTATTGTTGAGCCTGGACAAGTTGTGGCTCATTTGAGGAATTTAAACCTGCCCTGCCACACACGGGCCGCACATTTCCAAGAAGAGGGGCTCCTCTTCCTCACTTTATGCAGATCAGAGCTTTATATAAGTCCAAGAGGCTGTGCAGAGATGCTCACACCAATTTGTGATATTTCTTGTAACCATGTTGAAAGTGAGACAATAAAGTTTGCAGGTACAGACATGTGTGAAGGACTGGAAGGTTGTGTTTTTTTATCTCTTGAATGCTGAGACAGATTGTATCTATCTGTGCCTGCGGACTTAATTTTTGCATATCCTTTGTCATTGTAATGTAAATAAGACATTTTAGCAATGCTTATGTGCAATATACTCTAATGGAATGACAGTGTATTTAGATTTGAGGATGGAATTAGATATGCATGGACAAAGTATGATTGCAGATTTTATCTTTTAGCTGGGAACGTATCATTTTTAATGTTTATTGATGTTTGACATTTACCGTTGGTTTATTTATTACTCGATAGTAAGGGCATTGGACTTGTTCTTAACTTGACATTTTATCGTCGTTTAGGCTTCAGAGGAGGCATCTCTGCGTGCGCTGGAGAACCTGATGACAGAGTTCTTTCATAGCTGTACGACCAATGAGCGGAAAAGGGAAATAGGTAATTTAAATTGTATAAAGACTGTTCACTTGTAGGACTTTCATTATCTACCTAATCAATGAACAATGTTGGTATGTGAAACATAAGGGTCGGGGCTTTGGTAGTCTTGTACATACCATAACATCAATAGTTTGTATTATGGATGTGCCAACCACAGTTCTTTACCCAACTTTAATTACACTTAAAGAGATCTTTCTTTTAGTTGTGTTTATAGTTGTCTTTGGGTATTTGAGCACAAGTGATGTAAATTCACTTTTCTTAAGTTTTAGCATGGAAATAATAAATCACTTCCATTCAGATTCGTATTACTACTTTAAAATGTACGTGTAACTAAATAACCATACTGAAAAAAATACTATGAAACGCTCTACAAGAAGCTAAATAATTGCTTAAATTTTTATCTCTAAAGAGAACAAAACTAAAATATAACACTAACACCCAAGATGTTGCTGCTGTTCGTCAGTCACTGCTGTTTTGCTCTCAAAATAATTTACACACCCAAGACATGAACTTCATCCAGTTAGCATACGATATTTTCACCACCGTTCCTGCTTTTGCTTACCACACCATGCCATGCCACTTTATTAATAAAGCTCTTAAAACCAGCAACAATATTTTACATGATAAAATATGTAAATCAACAGAGGTAAATAAAGAAATGAACAATTGGAATGACTAGAATAATAAAACACAGTGAGGTTAAAATCAAGTCGCACTTGGTTGAAAGCTAGGGAATAAAAGTGTGTTTTTAAACATGTTTCAGTATTATAAACTGATATTTCTTCATGGGAAAAATAAGTTTAGATCCCAGATTCAGATGATCAGTGACGTTGCATCACCAACAGTTCAAATAAATAGACCATAAACCGTTACTGCAAGTTGAGTCGTCTTCCTCATTTCCTGTCAGTAACTCAACTGGCACTGATGAATGGAGCTAAAATGAACTAAAACAATTACTCATAAACTAATAGATTGTAGTTTATTTCTATGTAAAACTTATAAATATGACTGTATGTGATAACCTTCCTCTCAAAGCTTTTTGAGCTCCAAAAACAACATAGAGAAGTAGACTGCTGTGTGCATCTGGTTGTTCTGTTCAAATAATAAACTTCACTTGAATTCATTTGTTTTACACGAAGTACTCTTTTGCATAGTGTTTTTACACACTTCCTGTTCTTCTACATATTACTTTCAGTTCGTCTGTGAAGTACTGCTGTGTCGTACTTCTAAAAGATCTCATGGGTGCTTCCTTTTTTTCTGCAGAAGAGCTGCTGAATAACTTTGCACAGCAGACAGGAGCATGGCGACACTGCTTGTTCTTCCTCTCCAATACTCGGAATGAATATGTAATGATGTACAGTCTCACAGTATTTGAAGTAAGTCCTGTGGGCGGAAAAAGTTCAAAGTACTTTTCTAGGTTCCCATTTGCCTGACGATGCTTTGAAAATGGACTAGTTAAACAAGTTAGTTTTAAACACAGAAGACAGGAAGAGATGTTTTGCTATGTGAAATTTTTTTTTTTTACCGGTATGCATTTCCTGTGTCCTCTTTTTTTTTTTTTTTTTTTTTTACACTTCTAGTTACAAAAAACTAAACATGCCATATTTTGTAAGGAAACGGTTCATATATTACAATAAAACTACTCTAGAAGACTTACTCTATTTTGGTATATATTTCTATGCCTAAATTTAGGTGGATGAGTGAAATGTATTTGTATTTTTTTATTATTTTTATTAACTTCTAAAGAGAACCGCGAGAGCTGTTTCTTTAAACACAAATTTTAAAAAAACTTGTTTTCTGTTGATTTTCAGAATCTGGTGAACAAAATGTGGATTGGTTTAGCTTCACAAGACAAGATGGAGATTCGTAGCTGTCTGCCCAAACTCCTGCTTGCTCAGCACAAATCTGTGCCCTATTTTATTCGTAACAAGCTCTGCAAAGTCATTGTAGACATAGGTCGCCAAGATTGGCCCATGTTCTACCATGACTTCTTCACAAACACCCTCCAGGTGAGCTCCATATTTTTCTCCTTCGGTACAACATAGTCAAGTGGTAGTTTGAGTCTTTGGGAATTGTCTGCTGAATGTTGTCACATGTGTAACACGAGGTTTCTTGAGAACAAGCTGCTAATGATAAAACCTACAAAACCACAGCCTCTGCTGCACCTAACATGTTCACTTGGGTGAATCTGCTTTTTAAGTGATACTGCTGTTTAAGTTTGTTTCATTTTAAAAGCCTAGTGTTTTTTTGTAAAGTGCATACATTTTGGCATCCTGAAAAAAAAAGCATTTTTTTCAAGTGAGCATTGTTTTAGGGATAAAATCATGTTTGCACATGCACTTCACAGAGGGAAACTTTCTGCCAACCAGAAATGCAGACTTATAATTATCCCATTTGAGTTGCTGCCCTAAGTGAGTAATGCATGCACCATCACCTTCTAGTGTGAGTTGCTCATATGTTAGGATGGTGATAGTGGTGCAGAATCAGGTAGATGTGCTAAACCTAAAGGTACGTTAACGTTGTCATTTCCTAATGTGAGTTGCTACTTGATGTGACATTCACATGCACAAAAGTTTGATTTTATTGTAACCGTTGTTTTCATTTATATAAAATATAAGGCTTTTTTTTTTGCACTGTTATAAATGTTTAAATTGTCTATAAATTGTTTAATTAAATTGTCAGTTGTGGCTTTATATTGCATCAATATTTCATGTATAACTAAAGATTGTACTTTTTAAGAAATAAATTATTGTTTTTTATCTTTACCAAGCAAGGAAACGATGAATTCACCACAATTTACTTAAAATATTAAATTACGATGTCAGAGCTATTGCATGCAACTTTTTGTCTTCAGTGACTAAGACTTGTTCTGCCTGCAAGTTCATAAGAATAAAAACATTTGTAGGATTGTTGTTTGCTCACGTCACTGATGTTGAATTGAATTCAAAATCTTACTTCTAACCTACAAAGCTCTCAACAACCTAGCTCCAGCTTATATTAGATATCTTATTGTTCCATATTTTCCTAACAGAACACTTCGCTCTCAGACTGCAGGCTTACTCGTGCTTCCTAGAGTTTCCAAAAGCAGAGTGGGAGGAAGATCTTTCAGTTATCAGGCTCCTCTCTTGTGGAACCAACTTCCAGTTTCTGTCTGTGAGGCTGACACATTGTCCAGTTTTAAGACTGGGATCAAGACTTTCCTTTTTGATAAATCTTATAATTAGGGTTGGCTTCTTATGCTGCCTTAGGCTTAAGACTACTAGAGGACAAATTGACCTAATTTCCTTAAATGATTTGCTAAAATTGAATAGTTTTCATTTGATGCTATTTCTATCGTAACATGTGATTCTTGACCTGCCATTGTGTATCTGTTCCTCTCAAACCCAACTGGTCGAAGCAGATGGTCGCTTGTCCTGAGCCTGGTTTTGCTAAAGGTTTCTTCCTCATGAGGGAGTTTTTCCTTTCCACTGTCGCCTTCATGCTCGCTCAAGATGAGAGTCTGTGATGGAGATAAATTCAAAGCAGTCTGCTCCTCAGATAAATAATGTTAAATTATTATTTTTATATATGAATGTTTCTGTTCATTGCTCTCCTGAGACGACATTGTTGTGACTTGGTGCAATATAAATAAATTAAATTGAATTGAATTGAATTGATGTTGGTGGCAGATGAAGTGTGGCATATCTTGGTTTTGTATATTTTTTCTACTGAAGAGACAGGAAAGACATAACGGCAGCACAAGCCATATCTTCTAACTTTAGGCATGGACTCCCATAACAGTCTCACAGCTAGAATTGAGATTTGAAGGTTGTAGATGAGCATCTGTCAGTAACACACTAGGGTAAAACCATAAAAGGAAAAACTTGTTTTTTGTTTTTTTTATGCTGCCATTTATGATGTTGAAAAGCAACATAAATGTCAGAAAAGCACACTTTCACAGTGTTGCTGCTTCTTGCATTACCTGACTTTGAAAACTTCTGGACATTTTACTTGAGCTTTAGAGGGACTTGAATTTAGTTAGTCACTCTCAACTGTTGCCTACAGCTGATCCAGACCCCGGCCCTCGCTCCTCTGGGGTTGATCATGTTGAAAACCACATCAGAGGAACTGGCCTGTCCTCGAGAAGACCTCAGCATTGCCAGGAAAGACGAGCTGCGTAAACTGCTGTTGGACCAAGTGCCGACAGTGCTTGGACTGTTGACTGGTAAATTAATTAATTTATTTTATTTTTTGTGCAGCTTGTTTTCTTGACATGAGCTGACTTTTAAGCAACAACTATAATATAACGTCAACGTAAATCTTGTTTTTGAATTTAAGCTTCTTTTTTTTTTATTATTATTTCAGGCATTTTAGAGACCTACTGGGACAAGCACAGTGTCATAGCATCTACCCCCCCTCCATCACCCACCTCAGGGGAAAGCGGTTAGTAGATTGTCACTTTTGTAAGAGAAAACTGTTAAGACTTAATGATGAAAACAATTAACAGATATTGCTGGGAACTTTGACGTACCATGTTTTAATAGACCGTTTGTATGCTAACACCACCATTTGTTTGTTTGTTCAATCCTTCAGTGGAATTGCTGGGCAGTTTGTTTCAGGGCAGCCAATACTCAAAGCTGCTCTGTCAGCCCATGGCAGCATTGGACAATGAAAGTCATCAGCTCTGCTGTCTGGTTTTGGAGTGTTTATCTCACCTGTTCAGCTGGATCCCTCTGTCCACAAACATTACACCCTCCCTGCTGGCATCTATTTTTCACTTTGCACGTTTTGGTTGTGACCTGCGGACAAAAGCCAAGACAGGACCTTTGAACTCTTCCACCTCTAATGGACAGCTCAATCCCGGAACGGTGCCAACAGCAAACGGACAGAGGCCAAACGACCAGCAGGGAGAGGTTAACAAAATGGATCGCGCTCGGCTCGGTGTGCTCGCGATGACCTGCATCAATGAACTGGTGTCAAAGAACTGCGTGCCAATGGACTTTGAGGAGTATCTGCTGCGGATGTTCCAGCAAACATTCTTTCTTCTGCAAAGGTTGACGCGAGAGAACAATGCTCACACAGTCAAGAGCCGCTTACAGGAACTTGATGAGAGGTATTTCTCAGTTCACAAACTGACAGAGGTATTTGTGCATGTGAAAGTATTTAAAGGTCAGATAAAGTATTTTAAAAATGGTTATATTTAGTTTAATACACTCAAAACTAAACTGGCAGTCAAAAGTTTCACACTTACATTTCCTAATACCATCTTTCATAACACTATTCATTACTGATTTTCTTTGTATGCTTTCTGCAGCTATTTAATTTATTCTAACTTCATACATGAAGAAGTTTTGGAATAATTTATTAGTGAGCAAAAATAACTCGACCTAATTTTAATATTTTCTTGGTTGTGTCTTTTTTTTAGGCAGATCTCATGTCTGTGGTTCAAATATAGATGAGTTTAGCTTTAACTTATTAATACTTGGGTCTTAACACTGACTCATGTCTCTTAAGTTGTAAATGGAAATTGGAAAATAACAAATATGTAAGGCAAGACACTGATTTGTAGTTCTGATGGTACAGCTGCTCCGATCAGTGTCTTTTTATGTTTGACAGAATTATTTTTGCAAAACAAGAACAGTCCAAGTCCAAACTAAATTTATTATCTTGAGTTTTGTTACTTTTTGACTTTTGTTTCTCCAAAGCAAATTACAGTAGAGAAAATCAGAGTCATGAAAGCATATCTTATCTAGTACTATTCCTATTTTACTAATTGGCTTTTCTATGTATGAGAATGTTTCTGTACAGTGCCATGAGACAACTTTGGTGTGAATTGGCGCTATATAAATAAATTGAATTGAATATTAGGAGCATTCAGGGTGGTTCGGCATCTTTTCAGAGGACACTTCAACATGCGGTTAAGCTGACCATTTCCTGCTGGTCTTAGAAAATCAAAATAACGTTAAGTGGCTGAGATTTTAAAGTTACTCCTGACATAAAAATGCATGTACAGTAGATGTACAGTAGTCCCTCACTACTTTGCAGTTCACTTATCGTGGCGAGGCTTCAGGGTGTGGATCCCCACGATAAACATGGGACCACTGTATTATGTTCTATTTTAATGGTTTTTCTCTAATCTTGCAGTTACCTGGAAAAGTTTACAGATTTTCTGCGCCTGTTTGTCAGTGTTCACTTGAGAAGGATTGAGTCGAGCCCTCAGTTTCCTATTGTAGAGTTTCTTGGTTTGCTTTTTAAATACACTTTCAACCAGGTAATGATTGTTTTGTCAATCTTTTATTATTATTATTTAATAAGTTATTTTAGTCTAACAGATTTCATTCAAACCTGCTTCTCGTTGAATTTTCAGCCCACGCATGAGGGATACTTTGCTTGTTTGGACATATGGAGTGTGTTTTTGGATTTTCTAACGACCAAAATTAAAAGCAGGCTCGCAGACAGAGAAAGTGTACTTAACAGGTAAGTGTACAGAGTATTTGCTGTCGTGTTCTTTTGTAGGGTTTGTTTAAACTACTGTCGTGAAACAGTCTTGTGTGATTTGTCAGGTACAAAGATGCCTTGGTTCTTCTTTTGCGAGAGGTCCTGAATCGCATACAGTTCAGATACAATCAGGCCCAGTTGGAAGAGCTGGATGATGAGACTCTGGATGATGATGTAAGGATATTTTATCTAAAAATATTTCACAAATTGTCTTTTCTCCTTTTTCACTTATGAAATGATTCACCCTGTAGCAGTGATGTCTTTAAAATTAAAGTTTACAATTTTAACTTTGATTTCATGCAAACATTACAAAGGCTTCACTTCAAAGTGTGGACGTTCTCTTTCATTTACTAACCATAGCAACAGACTGAGTGGCAAAGGTACCTACGTCAGAGTCTGGAGGTGGTTGCCAAGGTGATGGAGCTTCTCCCATCCCATGCATTTTCTACTCTGGTAAGATATAACTCATTTTTTAAGCACATCACTAAACATTTATCACCATTTATTTTTTAAGCTAATATTGTTACTTACTGACTTAACAGCTGTTTAAGTCTTCCATCAGACATTTATGTGATCAGTATAGCTTACCAACTGCTGATGATTACACTGAACTGCATGATTGATTGGCAGGGTGGAGTAGATATGTGCACCAGGTTGCCACACAGTGTTTTGTTTTTTCTTAAAACTTCCTTAAATTCTTTATCACAACAGTAACATTTAGAGCTACAGGTTTAGACAACATTTAGACAACAGTAACATTTTTAGCTAACATGTCAGCAAACATTTACATGAACGCTCCTACAAGAACCCTGCAGATGTTGGATGTCGTCATGGTGCACTAAGATTCATAACTGGCTGTGATTATCGTACCCACCACTGCACCCTGTATTCACTGGTTAACTGGACATCATTAACTTCACGCAGACTCTCTCACTGGTATATTTTCATCTTTAAATCACTTCTTGGTCTGCTGCCTTCATACATCTCCTCCTACATGTCTCTGTGAGTGCAGCTACAGCGTGCGCTCTCAGGACATTATTACCTGCAGTGTTCCCTCAATGAGGACTGAACTAGGCAAAAGGGCCTTCTCCTACTCCGCTCCTGTTTCTTGGAATATCTTACAAAAAGACCTGAAGCTCTCGACCTTGACCTCTCTAAGTGGCTTTAAGAATCTGTTGGACTCCTGGCAGGGACCAATGCAGACATGTTCCTGTTTTTAGTTTTCTACATTCACCTTAGAATCTAGCTGTTTTTTTTTTTTTGTTGTTTGTTTGTTTTTTTGTTACCTTTTTCTTTTAGCCATCCTATTTGTAAAAAAAAAAAATAAAACCTGCAGTATGACTTTTTATAATTGTTTATTGTTGTTGCTGTTGTCCATTGTTGTCATCTTTCTTTGTTGAAATCAGGTCTCTCTTGTAAATGAGTCCTCGAGGCTCAATGGGATTTACCTGTCTAAATAAAGGTTGAATGAAAAAAAAACATTTAATACTCCGTATTTTTTTACTAAATCAATCTGCAGTTTAATGCAGCAAAGTTAAATATCATTACTTGTAAAATTCCCTTAAGCCAGCTTTTTAAAGTGCAAATTAAAATGTAAAATCAAATATAGATATTGGGCAAGTTGTTCCTCCTGACCAATCTCTTGTTAAAGTCCTACTCTTTTAGTAGTCATAACTAAAGCATAGCCATACATAGGGCTGAGCAATGTCTCGATACGTTAAAAATATTGATATAATTTCATATCGATATAAAATTAAACTATATCAATTCATTCATTCAACCTTTATTTAGACAGGTTAATCCCATTGAGCCTCGAGGACTCATTTACAAGAGAGACCTGATTTTAACAAAGAATGATGACAACAATGGACAACAATAGACAGTTATAAAACGGCATACAGATTTTTTTTAATATACAAATAAGATGGCCGAAAAAAGTAGCAAAAACAGCTAGATCATAAGGCGAATGTAGAAAACTAAAAACAGGAACATGTCTGCATATAGCATAAGCATATAGTCTTAAGCCCCCAGTATACTCCCACGAACGTCCATACGCGGAGGTACGCACGTACGTATGCGGAGGTACGAGCGTACCTCCCAGGCCATGTCCGTGCAAAGCTCAACTTTTACGACCGCGTACGCGGTGTCGCACAATAAACTGCCCAGCGACGCACTGTTTTGTATGCGACACCAATGTAGTAAATTCCCCTTCTTCATCCCTAATCTGGCCTTTTCTTTTGTTTTTTTGCCAAGAGGCAGTGATCTCTTCCTCCTCCGTTGATGCCATGACTGAAATGGTGAGAAATGGAGGAATTTGTCACAAGCAAATTAAACTCAGGTCCAGCGTGGCTGCGGGAGGGTCTGGAGATTTCCTGGTGGGCTGGTCTGATGTGTGGACTGCAGGGCCAGTGCTCCCTGTTTTTTTTTTTTTTTTAGATCTGTTTATTAACAACATATAAACACAGAACACCGCTGGCTGAGGCTGCCAGCGCTCATTTTTTTTCTCTTCCCGACCTGTCAATCAATCCAGTAGGCATGTCAGCAAATGACCAATCAGCGAACTCAATTTGTCCTGAAGGTAAACGCCCCTTGTCTGTGAAGCTGCTCTGCAGCTGCTCGGGGTGTACGCTCGAGCATCAAGTCTGAACCCTCTGCGTACAGTACACGCGTACGTACGTGTGAACGGACGTACGTGGGAATATACTGGGGGCTTTATACTCTACGTATAATAATACTTGAAAATCTGCCTGTTTTTCCTCCCAGTCTGCACCTTCATGTCACTTCGCCTCTCTCCCTCACTAAATACAAACCCACTCCTCCCCCACAGCTTGCTGCAGCTGAAGACTATTTGAATTATAAAGCTGACCTTAAGATATGTAGATATCTTTGTTGACTCACAGTGGAAGAGCACTGTAAATTCCTGCTGGGTGTTAAAATGGTAGCTGCTATAAAGCAGGGGTTTGGTGTTCTCCAGGAAATGAACTGGTTGAGTGGCACAGTATGAAGTTGTCTTCTCATTAAAAAACATAGAGACAAATATCCACAGGGTGATTTATTTGCTGTTTCTTCTGGTATTTACACACAGCAGTTTAAAGCGTAAACAGAAGCTGGACGAAAGCAGCAAGGCTCCGTCCGTGTCTGTAGAAAAACAAACTCCGACCGACACACTCAGCTCTGCCTACCTACCTACCTACCTCAGACTGTTCTCACCTTTTGTGTTTGATGCATCTCTACCCTGAAATGGAGAGATTAAATATTTTAAAAAGTATTTCACACATAATTTTGAATTTAATTGTCATATCGAGGTCTTCATGTTGCAGGTATTCCACAGTTTTTGACAGTTTTATCTTATTCTAGTCTTTTCTGTCTCAAGTTTCCAGTCCTTCAGGAAAATTTGGATGTCTACTTGGGTTTACAGCAGTTCATAGTCACTACCAGCTCAAGTAAGTTGTGTTTAACACATTGATCAGAGAACTGCTACAGAATTAACGGGACATTTCACATAAAGTTTGTTTTTATTTTTCCCCTATAGGTCGGAGGCTGAATATCACAGCAGAGAACGACTGCCGTCGCCTTCACTGTTCTCTCAGGGACCTCAGTTCGCTGCTTCAAGCTGTCGGACGCTTGGCTGAACATTTCATTGGAGAGGTTTTTGCTGCACGTTTCACTGATGCGCTGGCAATGGTGGAGAGGTCTGTGTTCTGCTCTCTTTAAAAACAAAAACTGTATCTTTGAGTATTTCGTGTCTTATTTGTAATTTCTGCTTGTGGCCTTTTCGCGTTCTTTCTGTGCTGTAAAGTCGGTTGTTGTTTAAATGTGGAATATAATGAAGCGTTTGTTTCTTCTTCAAGACTGGTTGAAGTAACTTGCTATGGCTCTCAGACCAGCCTTTATCACCTGGAGACAGCTGTGCCTTCTGTTTTAAAGCCTGACCTCATTGACGTGTGAGTATTACGTGTTCAAAGGAGAATTTAATCCAGTCAGTTTGACAAAACACCGTGGCCTTTTGAAACACAGTTACACCAACTAACAAGAACAAAGTGCAGGTGAGTGTTGTATACAAAAAGTTTATGTAGATAAATACAAGCTGGTGAAATGCCACCCCAGCGGTTTGCAGAGCGTGGGTGGAGTTGCTTCCCGTTCTGAAAAACTTCATGTTTTTCATAATAAAGTTGCAAAATATTTATGTTGCTGTAACTGGAGGACAAGCCTCCAGGCTTAACTTGTTAGATCTTCAGGTGTCCTCTGGACATATGTGCTGTATAAGGTCCTAATGGGGTCAAACATTAAGACTCATAGCTGATAAGAAATGTCAGACTAAAAATGAACACACCTTGTACATAAATAAAACACTGAACGATAATTGTTACATTCATCTTGTACATTAGATTAATTTGCTTGTTTGTTTTTGTTTGTTCCAGACACGCGCAGGCCCTTGCTGCTTTACAAGCCTATTCTCACTGGCTCGCACAGTTCTACAGTGAAGTCCACAGTCAGAACCAGAGCCAGTTCATCAACCTCATCATGTCTGCAGTAGACGCTAGCAGCCCACTCATCACAACCAAGGTAGTTTGTCTCAAATTCAATCTTTCATTCTCACAATCAAACTCCAGTTTGTCAACAGTGCAGTAGTTTAATGTGCTTCCTGAAGAATGCCCTCACGTTTCTTCCGTGCACCTCAATCAATACCATACACAAAGTATCCACATTACAAATTGATAGATTTTCAGCAACTTTTACACTTTAAACATCATCTGGTGTCATTCCTGCAGCCTTTTGTTTGACAGAATCAGGTTTATGAGCCTTTATATAATTTAAAGTCATTGTTTTGTTTTTATGCCTTAAGTGGTAGTGATTGCCTAAGCAACATACGTAAATCAATTAACATTTAACAATAAAATCGTATGCGGCTAGCAAAATGAATAAAAAAATAAGAACATAAATGAGAAAACCTGAAGACATTCAGCTGGCATTGCTGCTCATTGCTCAGTCCTGTTGATGGGCTGGAGCACCCCGCTTGTATAATGGTAGTGGAAACACTGTTTCAACCAATAAAGAGAGCCAGAGCCACAGTTTGACCCAGTCAGAGCACGGCAGGTCGTGGGTGAAGGACACTTCTTTGATAGGCAGGGTGTTCGGTTCTGTTGACAGGGCGGGGCACCTTCCTTGGATAACGGTAGAGGAAACGCGTTTTAAATGACTACATGAGCTGAAATCCTGTAAATATATTTATACTCGGCACATCACTTCCTGTCTAGATATATATTTTTAATATATCTGACAACTCCAGTTGAAAACACTAAAATGACATAAACGTAAACAACAGAAAAACTGTTCAAAATCCGTCTCTTCCTTCAGAATGATGTTGGTCTTGATGGTGCTTCATTAGAGAACACTGTACTGTGTACTTTTACTAAGGTCATGTACACACCATACTCCAAAAATTGGATTATAGTAAGGATTGGAGTATTGGGGGGAGGGGGGGGGGGGGTAACCTGTAGATGTAAAAAAATTCAAAGGATTTTTTTCTGCTTTAATCCATGTGTATATAAACTCTGACTTAAGAAGATTAGTGGTAGGAGTTTTGTTGTTGCAGCAATAGTTTGAGGAAGTTGAATGTAGAAATTGTTGTGTAGTGTTTGAAAACTAAAGCTCATGTTGACTGAATTTTTCCCCTTCGCTTTCTATGTCTAATAGCTTTACCACAAAAATGGTAATTATTTGCAAAGGCGTAAATTAAGTTGTTCTAACTTCAGAGGGCTAAGGAAAAGGCAGACATCACAAGTATCTACCTCATCCTCTCCTGAATGAAGGAGTGAGATCAGAGAAATCCGACCATAAAATAATTGCCTATTTATTTACAGTGGTTTGTTTTTAAAAACACATGCGAGCCCCTGTAGGTAATAGTAGCATTAACTGATTAAAAAAAACTCCTTTTGTTTGTTTGTGTTTTACTCTGACCAGCATCGGTTTGACAAAGTTTCAGGTGGCTTCTCTTCTCTTGCCTAACTTACTGAGATTGTCATTTGTCTGAAATAATCCATCAGCTTCCTAAAAAGTGTTATTAGCTCTTTAGTGGTACTATCATTTGAAAAGCATCTAATATAAGCAGTGACATACAGAAAATAATTTTATTTTTATACTTAAATTTCCAGGTACCAGAGAAGTTGCTGCTCTCAGCGTGCCATCTGATGGTTTCCATAACATCCACAGTGAGGCCGGTGTTCTTGGTCACTTTGCCAGCTGTTCAGAACATCTTCAACCTGATTACTACAGAGAATCACGCCCACCGGCTTCCCCAAGAGGTCAGTGTTGGCCTCAGTCATTTTGTTTGTTTCATTTTTGGCGCTGTATTTCTGGTTTCTAGCTGTGTGTATTTAAATAATAATAAATAACCATTAAAAAAAAAAGTCAGTTTTAAGATTTTGTGTTTAGATTTTTTTTTTTAATGTATTTTCTTAATCTAGTCTGTAATTTTGACATCTCATTTGTGTTTCATGCAGGCCCACATACTTGTCTGTAGGGCTTTGTCCAACATGCTCTTGCTCCCGTGGCCAAATTTACCAGAGAGTGAGCAGCAATGGCAAACACGCTCCAGCAGCCACGCCAACCTGCTAGCTGCACTCACTCGACAGTATCGTATTTTAAGAGAGACTGTGAATTCTACTCCACGCCAGCCCGGTCTGGATAATGGTCAGGATTCTCTTTCGTTGTTTATTTCTGCTTTTAAATTATAACGCCTGCTTTTCATTCCCGTTTATTCCTAATCCTCCCTGAACTGTTCGCTCAACATCCTTCTTTGTTCCAGTGAAAGCGGTGATTCAACAAACCCTGCCTGTGCTCAGAGACATTGTCGACAGCATCTCGAGCGAATCCACCAAATCTCGACAGATCTGTTACCAAAGTATGCAGGAGTCTGTTCAAGTGTCACTCAACCTGTTCCCAGTTTTTATTCAGCAGCCAGGTCAGTTGCTCGTACAGTCTGCTCCTTCATAAGTCAAATCAAGTAACTGGAGACTAAAGCTGAAAAGTGTATATTGGTAGACACCTCTCCACCCTCTCTCCAGGAGTTCTATAATATTTTAACAGATGTATACTCAAATTTAGTGATATAATCTTTGAAGTTCTAAATTCACCTTTTTTAATTAAACGTACCAATCATTAGACAAAATTATGTTTGTGTCGTTCAGTTTATAGACTGGATTCTCAGATTCTCTTCACACAAATGTTAAAGCGTACTTTAATTGAAGTCGTATTTGTCAGACAAAAATCATTACATCATGATTAATCACAATTTATTAGTTGAATGATAACCATGCCATTTTATTTATAGAGCACTTAAAACAGCTACAAGGCCAACCAAAGTGTTGTACAGACAGAACATACAAACAGACATGACAGACATGAAAACTTGAGTGACTGGCCGAGTTTCCTAATATTGTCCCTTCTCGTCTCAGATGTGACGGATGAGATGTTGGCCTTCTTTTTAACGTTGTTTCAAGCCTTGCGAGTCCAGATGGGTGTTGCCTTTACAGGACAAATCATCCACACTTTCCTCAGCATGTTCACAAGGTAAAGATGCTGACAGTGGTTGCACTTGAGTAATACCAATAGTATTGCATCAGGTTTTGTATGCCAAGTCATGCATTGTCATTTTGACTTGCCTCAGGGAACAGCTTGCAGCCAGTATCTTGCAGGAAGGCAGTGCCGGATGCAGAGTGGTACAGAAGTTCCTGAAGATCCTGCAGGTGGTGGTGCAAGAACCTGGTCAAGCTTTCAAGCCCTTCCTTCCCAACATCCTCTCCCTGTGCATGGAACAGGTTTACCCAGTTGTGGCAGAGGTCCGTTTGTTCTCATTCTGAACATCTTGCAGTATCCTACTGTCTGAGGATGTTTTTTTAAATTATTATTAATATTTATTTATTGGCCCAACACAGCATCATTTTTTCATAATTTATTAGTTCTGTTATAACAGACATTTAAGTCATTTTTAAACTACATGTGCATCTCCAAAAATATGAATATCATGAAAAAGTTCCATTTTTTTCCACTCTGTGTAAGAATTTATGTTGAGTTTCACTTTCTGAAATGACTGACAAAAAATACTTTTTCATGATATTCTAATTTTTTAGATGCACCTGTATAAAATGAAAATATTTTCTACTCTTTCTTTGGTCATGGAGAAAACAAGTTGCAATAAACATGGAGTTGCAGTTTATGCTGTCACTTCCTGCAGTCCCTCTCACAAACAGTAGATGTCACTACAGAGAAACACCACTACAACCGCTGGATTGGCACAACACATAAAGTCAATGGTGTACTCAAACATACTTTCACTTTATTTGTTTTACGTACAATAAAATATATGGTATTCTCACCCATCTCTAACCTCCTCGGCAGTCTGCAGGTTTTTCATGTTATCAAATCCTACCAGTTTGCCTCATTAGAAACGTTTGCTCGAGTAGAACCCAAAATAAAAAGCTTTCAGTTTGGTACCACCCACAATGTTAAATCAAAGAAATACAGAACCTAGCTGTGATAGGAAAACACTGGAAAAGTTGCTAGTTGTGCCATTTCGTTTTCTGTTAACACAAAAATGGAAAAAGTAAAAATATTCACCGGAGTTTATGATTTGTAAAATTGAAGGTGAATTTTTTTTATGGTCATCTTAAAAATGCACCTTTTGTTGTCGTCATATTTCCTGGTTATCACTTTGTTACTGAATCTTTTCTCTTTATCAGCGGTCTTCACCAGATGTCAAGGCAGAAATGTTTGAGCTGTTATACCAAATACTTCACCAAAACTGGAGGTACTTCTTCAAAACCTCAGTTTTAATAAGTGTCCAAAGAGGAGCTGTGGAAGACACCATGGAAAACGAGGCCCAGTTCACAGCTGCCATGCAGGTGGGTTTTATACTAATACCTATCCTTGTCACTGTTGTACTTCTCTGACCTAGTAAGTACACATTTAATTGTTTGGTTTTCATATTAATGGGAGTTGACTCATAAATTTGTGTAAAAATCAAAGTTTTAAGTGTGAAACATAAACTTTTGAACAGTTAGAAGAGCTGACTGCTTCAAGTTATGATTAAAGCTATCTGCTTCATTTTCTGTCTCATCCTTTCAGGCTTTTGGACAGTCATTCCTCCAGCCTGACATCCACATCTTCAAGCAAAATCTTTCCTATTTGGAGTCACTGAACAGCAAGCACAAGTTGTATTCCAGGGTAGGTTCACTTTTCCTTTCCATGCATTTGAATATAAAAGACCCAGCGCGTTACTGATCTGGGTTTCTTACTGAACCTTTCTTTTACCATACCATTTTATTTATGCAGCACTTAAACAGCGACAAGGCCAACCAAAGTGCTGTACAGACAGAACAACAGGCAACACACAAAGCAAAATACAAAAATGAAGTAAATCAGAATATATACATAAAAACGTCGCAGATAATAAAATTTTTTAAGCAGTTTAACTTATTTTTGATTATCAGACTTGATGACACAAAGAGTACATAAATATACTGTTGGGTATGCACCTAGATCTTAGCGTCCTCCTTGTTGGCACACTAATAAATACCAGTCATATTTATGACTGCATGCTAATGTGCTTTAGCTACCAAAAAGTTCCATTTGGAGTTTTTAAAATCATGTTTTTGATGTTTGTTGTGATTCTTTTATTGTTTGTTGTGCTTCAGAAGCTTTTCCGGACATCGATGCTCTTCCACTTCATCAACGTGCTGCTTCAGGTCCTTCTGCACAAAAGCCACGACCTCCTTCAGGAGGAAATCACCCTGGCTATTTACAACATGGCCTCTGTTGACTTTGATGCCTTCTACTCGGTTTTCATGCCAGAGTTCCTAAACGGCTGCCACGGTGTGGACACCAACCAACGATCTGTTCTGGCTCGCAACTTCAAGCTTGAGCAGGTACGAAGTTGCATTATTTCAGTAGTGTACTGTGATACTGAGGAAACCTCCTACTGGTTGTGGAACGATGCTCCTAAACAAGATGAGCAGCACAGCACACTTTCTAAACAGCATCTTGATCAGTGTTTTTGTTACTTGGTTAAGCTACTTTTTAAACCCAGTCTGCCACTCGACACTAAGCAAACACTGATGTAGCCCACAGTCTTGTTACAGCAGCCAAGTGCAGTTCTTAATCTGTTTTACTTCTATATTTGAAAAGGGTTCTTCATGCGAGACGTGTGTTGTATTGTGTAGTTTGTAGTGTTGTTTTGCAGCACTCTTTCTGAACATTATGTATTCTGCAGTACTGCATCCCACTTTGGAAATGACCTGTTTTTGTGTATGCAGGCTGGCCGTCTTGTAAACCTTATGAAACTAAACTTTGATCAATCCTATCTATTTTTGTCCCCCGACAGAGCGAAGAGGGGAAATGGAAATTCCCTCCATCCATCTGTCTTGTGAACTTGATAATTTGAAAAATAAATGAAGTACATCCATTTTGGCAACTGGCTGTATCTAGGTGTAAAGTTCAGTATCGAAAATAGGATTGTTGAGTGAAAATCCAAGATGGCCACTACCACTATATGTAAACCAGTCACTCCATTATTTGAGTAAATTATGTTTTCTATTGTTTAAAAGTATAGTTTCCTTAAATGATTGGGGTGGTTGAAGATGAATCTTTGGTGGCCAAGGCCACCCTGGCTCTGCCATTGCACATGCCAACCCCCCATTAAGGTTCACCTGCATTCCCTGTTCAATTCCAGTCCAGAAAAACACTCATCTCAAAATTTACAGTCACTCTTCAATGCTGTTTGCGACGGGGGACATTGACGTACCTCTTGTTCTCTGAGGAAAAACAAAATCACTTTGAGTTGATATCAAAGCTTGTTATTATTATAACTATCGTCATAGTGATATGATTGTTTTTTCCACTGCTCTTACATCTGACAATGAATGTTTTTTCTCCAGGATTTGCCTTCGTTCACTCAGAGCGTTCAGAGACTGGTGAACGATCTTCGCTACTACAGACTGTGTAATAGTAGCCTTCCCACCGGCACCATCAAGCTATAGCAAAGCACCACGTATCAGCTGTGATCTTCAAAGACTGCCTGTGCTCGCCAACACTCCGATTCAGCTTTACTCCCCTTGAAGCAACGCGTTGTTCAGTTGCATTTTTGGAGGATAAGCATGCTGCTGCCGATTATGATGATAATGGGTTTTTTTTGTTTGTTTTTACTGTAAAAGGTTGGCACATTTTTTTAAAGCGGTGCCCTCCTTCTTGTCTTGCCATTTAGGAGTTGGTGAGAACTATATACCTGGTCTGCAGATGGTATCTGCCAGACCCGGCACTGTCTGAGCCAGGCCTTCCCTCCCCCGCCGCCACAACCAAGCTGGGCTGGGACTGAGCACTTTCAACTCGTTTTGAGTTTGTTTGTTTTTTAATGTCTGCTTTTATTCAGTTTTGCCTTTTTTCATCTCCAAAGGAGATAGATTTAAAACTTAAGATCTTTCATATCATTCCACGATGAACAGAGAAAACAACTTAATAAACTGCTTTTTTAGTACACCCTGTGTTTACTTCTTGATTTGTTTAGATGACGTCGTTGCCTATTTGTTACTTTATCACAAAGTTCTAGACTACGGTTGTAGGTTATCTTAAAACTCTAGGTTACAGTGGTTCTCAAACGGGTCCCTGGACCATTGGGCGTCTGCGAGCCGGTGCTTGGGGGTCCAATTTTATTTATTTATTCATTTTTATTTTTTACAAGCACGTAGACGTTTAACAACCTGTTAAAATACACCAAAATGCATGAAATTGCATCTACTTTGTTCAAACTTTTATGAGGGAGGACCCCCCCACCCCCCTTGCCCGCTATTTGCGTTCCAGCATCGATTGGTTTACAGTTTAAGAGAACCCTTGCTCAATTGTCAGTCACCCTGGGATTTCTGAGTCGACAGATGATTTACAATTTTCACCACAGTTTGGTGAAGCATCTAAATGTTGATTTAAGTTGACCTGGAACTGATTATCTCAGCATTAAAGTTTATCACAATTTAATTAGGGCTGTACAAACGCACACAGACGAGCAAAACGTCATGTGACCTGTTGGTGGCAAGTTTTACCAGAAGGAAGTGCAGGCGCCTCCAGAGATTTTTAATGGGGCAGCTGGAAATCCTGGAGTAGAACGCCAAAACCAAATGCCTGAAAAGAGTTTCAGAAGTTGCTGCAAAACAGTGATTTGAAAAACATTTCCCAACTGGTGTAACTCATACAGGTAATATTATGGATTATACGATGTGCAGAGACCAGAACAGATTATATTTGGAGTTCCACAACAGTCCAGATATTGATCTTCACATGATGCCATCCTTACATGAAGCTTTTTGTCTTGGCTTTAAAAAGTCAGAATGCACATCGTTACATGTGCATGCACAGACTGAGTCAGTCACGTGACCACTTTCAGACTGCGGCTCCATCAAAGAAAGGATGAGACGGATATTTGACTGTTGTCTCAGATTGGGATTAAATAAAAGATGAAATCTCAGTAAGAGAAGAAAGCTCTGGCATGACTGGAGTTAACTTCAGATGTGACAGACAGGACAGGGGGCATGACTCCTGTGAGTTACTTCAGTGTGAGTAAAGTCTGAAAAGCTCATTCATGATGTTGCAGTGGAGGATTTTTCACACACTCTGCTCGGCGGGGCGAGAAGCCCCTAAAAGTCTGAAAGCCGGGTTATTATTTCCCCACGTGCTGTCATGTGGACACAGATTTGTTTGGCACAGGACCAAAACAAGTAAGTGAAGCCATTTCATTCATTTTAACATGATTATAGAACAAGAATAAACTTTTTGGGGGTTTAAAAGGCACATTTTTGAACCGAGTCTTGAAACTTTTTTAAAGTTTTACCAACTGTTCCACAACATGGACCAGAACCAGGTTAGAGGTTCTGACCCATATTTTTAAATGTAGGGTCTCATTTCAACATGTAGAGAACCACAGTGTTTCGTGCAGCCGGACCACCACTAACTCATTCTTGTCTGGCAGAGTCTCGTGCGTCTTAATGGCTCGCGTGCCGTCATTCATTTAATACAGCAACACTGAACTGATTTGTTTGAAAGAAAACTTGGGAGTTTGTGTTAAATGTGAATTCTGATTTGACCTGGACGTTCTTTAAACCCTTTTATTAAGTGAAAATATTTTAAATTTATGTTGAAGTCAGGGACGCAATCAAGAGGGGGGTCAGTGGTGGCAATGCCCCTCTACCCTCTCCTTGTGTGTCTGAGCTCTGGGGCTCCAGAACTTATTTTAAACAATGACGTGAAACTAAATTTAAACTGCTAAAATCTGAAACATGTTAAAGGCATAAGACTTGTGCTGATGAACTGAGTCAGGATAAGCACAGCTGCAGCGCAAAAAAAGTTTTTTTGTTATTTTTTGCCATAGTTGAGAATTGTGTAAAAATTAGTCCATAAAAGTATAATTTCTAGTAACTTTAAAAAACTTCTTTCCAAATGTGTCTTTAAATTAAAGTTCTCTGGCGTTTATTCAGAAATATTCTCTTTAATTCTAACCATTTTAATTTCATTTGTAATTGACCATTTTGACTCTGCTGACTGCTATAGAGCCCAGAAATCCCTTCGTATAAGGTTGAGCATCATTTTGACACCAAGGAATCCCCATTTTTAACTAAAGTGGAATTCTTAAGTACATAATTCCAGACCAATTAAAAAAACAGTGTTTAAATTGGCATTCTCATAAAGAAAACTAGCATGTTGCCAGGTCAGGTGATAAATCGCCAAAATTCATTAAAAAATTGTAACGTTTTGAAACTTTGGAGGTGGAGAACTTGACAATATTTTTCTTTTGGCTGCTCCCTGCTGCAGGGGTCAGTCACCACAACAAGTAACCTCACATGAAAGATTTGGCAATTGTTTTACACCATGCCTTCCTGATGCAACTCGGGCTCGAACCTGCAGCTTCGGGATTAGAAGATGACTGAGCTACCACAGCCCTCTGGAGAAATTGATAACTTGATTAAAAAAATAAAAATTATGTTTTCACAATTAAAAGCAAGTCTTTCAGTTGTTAGAACGCTGTGCAGCTCTTTTTTATATTTTTTGCACACAAACCACAACTCTAAAACGAGTTTATTCTTAATTGTATTATACCTAAAGGTACAAATTAGTAATGGCTGCAGTCTGAGATCCAGTAAATTAATAATTACAGCTAAAAGTGCACCAAGAATGTGTAAAGAATGTGTAGCGGATGCTAGGCATTCTTTCATTCACTGCTAGTTTCAAATATGAATATGAATTTAAGAGAAGAGACAAGCTTCCGTGATTTTTGTAGTGACTGTTGTGTTCTCAGTAATATCAACTAAAGTAAAAAAAATATATAAATCCCTTAATATATGGGGTGCCGTTTGTAAAGTTACAGTCAAAAATGGTAACAGCAATATTTTGGTTTATAAGTCTATAAGTTAAGTTTAAGTCTGGTTTATAAGCCTTTCATAAGGAAAAAAGTTTTGTTTTTTTTCAAAGTCATATTTTCACCATGTTATTCATACATTTGTAAATGTCATAGTTCCCAATATTTCTATTTTATTTAGCAAGCAAAATAAATATTTAACTTGGACCCAAATATTTAACTTGTAAGCTTAATATTTAGCTTTCAAGTTAAATATTTAGGTCTAAGCTAAATATTTAGTTAGGAAATTAAATATTTAGTTTAGGAATTAAATGTTTGGCTTAGAAATTACATATTTAGTTTGGAAATTAAATATTTAGCTTGGACATTAAACATTTAGTTTGGAAATTCAATGCTTAGTTTTTAAAATAAATATTTAGCTTGGAAATTAAATATTTAACTTGCACCTAAATATTTATTTTTCTAACTAAATATTGAACTTGCAACTTAAGTATTTAGTTTGTAAACTTAATATTTAGCTTGTAAATTAAATATTTAGTTGGGAACTATGACATTTATAAATGTAGGAATAACATGGTGAAAATATGACTTAAAAAAAACTTTTTTTTTCTTATTAAACTCTAAATAAACCAAAATATTGCTGTTAATTTTTGTCTGTGTAACTTTACAAACGACACCCCATATTAATATAGCTTTTGTTAATAGCCATAACAACAAACTAAAACTCTTGTATTTCTGTTATGGCTTTAGGTTTTGCTGTGCCACCCACCCCCCACCACCATCTGTCCACCTGTTTGAAAACTTTTCATAGCCACCCCCAGTGAAACCACAATTATAATGTTAAAATCAAACAAGGATGAGTAACTGGCAGTGTTTTCTGGGTTTAACATGTCAACATATCCACATTTATAGCTGCACTCTGGAATGCAAACACAAGGAAGTGTGGCTAAAAAGGTTTAATGAACCAAAAAGGAAAAGGTGGATCTGGCAAACAAGAACTTACAAAACCAACTTGTGGAGACATGGAGGAGAACCGGACATGGCATAAGCACACACAGACTGATGAGTGCTGAGGCAAAGCTGCAGCTGAGACTGATGAGACAGGGAACAGGTGTAACTGGGCGACGCTGATTGAAGGAGCAGAAAGGGAACAGAGGATAATGTGGGGGAGAGCAGAGAAACACAGGTAGGAAAACAAACAAGCAAACACCACGAAACCCAAAAATACAACAAATTAAACTACAAATAGAAAAATAAACACAGTCACTACTCAAATAATGAAAGCTTGTCCTCTCTTGAACTCATATTCATAATAAATGTTGCTAAATAAAGACAGTCTGATTAGAGTGGAGGGTCATTGCCCTCCTGGTAGTGCCCCTCACAAGATCATGACCCTCAGCTATCTGCTCTTTGTCTAGGGTCTTGTACAATCAGCTAAAGCTCAATGTCAAACTTATTTACAAGCTGGGCAAAGTTATTTACAATTATGGCAAACAAGACAATAAAATACAATAAATGAGTTTAACAACAATAAAAAAACAAAAGAAACCAACGAGATTTATCGAGGTTCAATATTTAAGGTAAAATTTGTGGGGAAAAGGTGAGCTCATATTTAATATCTTCCTGATGGTTATTGGTTATTAATTGTTGTCAGTAATATTATTGTTCGTCTGGGCAGGTCTTCCAGATTCGAGGGAGCGAACTCTGATTGCTGTGAAGCCGGACGGAGTTCAGCGACGCCTTGTGGGGCAGATCATTCAGCGGTTCGAGCAGCGAGGCTTCCGATTGGTTGGCCTGAAGATGTTGCAGGTACGTCGTGTGATGGCAGCTTACATGTAGCGTGCATCGTCTCTGCTTAACGATAGTTGTGCCTGTTGTGAAGGCGTCAGAAGACCTCCTGTCGGAGCACTATTGTCAGCTGAGATCCAAGCCTTTCTTTCCCATCCTGCTGCAGTACATGACCTCAGGACCTGTGGTCGCCATGGTAACAGCTTCCTTCTCTGCCTTCTTGTGGTTTACATCCAGTTCTTTCAATTTATATATGTGGTTTCGTCTTGGCTCAGGTTTGGGAGGGGCACAATGTCGTTAAGACTTCTCGAACCATGGTGGGACACACGAACCCAGCTGAGGCCCAGGCAGGAACCGTCAGAGGAGACTTCAGCACCCACGTCAGCAGGTAACCCGATATCTCACAACCCCCCTGTTAGCTTGAAGTTTCATAGTCAAACAATAACCCCAGTGACACTTGTGTCTTGGAGATCAAATAATCACGAGCGTTGATCACTTTCAGGAACGTGGTCCATGCCAGTGACTCAGTGGAGGGGGCGCAAAGGGAGATCCATCTGTGGTTTCAAGCCAAAGACCTGCTGGACTGGGACAGCTGGGACCAAATGAGCACCAGTGACGTGACGACGAGCAGCGCAAGTTAATTACTGCCTGTAGCTGCTCAACCGCCTGTCTCTTCTGACAGTGGCTGGAGAACATTAGATGATTCATCAACAATTTACCTCAGAATAAAAACAATTATGGCTATTAGCTATATTAAATTTAATTGATTTTTTACTACTGTAGCCTTATTTTACTAATATATGAAAGCCTCATGGTAAGTTAAAGACACAAAATGCAGAATTAGGACAAATAAATAAAAAAAACCCTAAAACAACCATCCATCCATCCATTATCTTTTACCCACTTCTTCCATTTTGGGTCACCAGTGCCCATGTCCAGCAATCATTGTGCGAGGGGCGGGTACATCCTGGACGGGTCCCAAGTCCATCACAGGGACACTAAAACAACCAGTTTATCTATACAATGTTTGGTTTAACTGCTGATCCTAACAAGCTTTTAATTTTATGACAAAGGATGTTGCTAAATATATAATGAGACAAATATGAGGATATGACGGCACATGTGTTTCTCATTGATGACACGATGCATCACAGGGCTATTCAAATGGCGGTCCGGGGGCCAAATCAGGCCCACGGGTGAGCTCAGTTCGGCCCATCACTGGGTTCATATTTAAATAAAATTAGATTTATGACAAAACTTGGCTTTCAGTAACTGTGGTCTCCTCAGCAATTTAGTTGAACTGCCCTGATGTATCGGCTTCTTGAAGGGGAGTCCCATTTTGTAGAAGAATATTTTAACTACTGTCTTCAAAGTAAGGGCCAAGGAGGATGTAGCACCATGAAATGGGGTTCAACTCATACAAGAGAAATCTACGTCAGTGTCAAACAGCCCATAGAACCAAATGTTGCTCGTTCTGAAGAGACAAGTCTGTTTTTATTTGTTTAGTGCTTCTGATTATTTAGCTTTGCTGCGTTCAAGGCCTGTTTAAACATTGTGGACACTTTGAAAAAAACGACACCAACAAATAAAATGCTGATTGTGAGGACAAAACGAGAGCCAGGAGTTCAAAATGCAGCTCTATCAGCAGAAGAGGACCTTAACGTAAAAACTGATAACATTAAAGGTTCCCACTTAGTTTGAGAATTTATATTTAAACATAAATGCTTTACAAACATTTGTAAATTAGGTATACTTATCTACTTTAATGCTTTACTCTGTAACTCTAAAACTAATTCATGAGCAAGCAAGAACTTGCCATCTTTAATCTAAGGGAATAAAAGTTAAAAAAATAAACTGATATTATATTGGTGTATTTAGTGGCTGATGACTGTCAGATAAAATTAAACAAGTATATTATCTCAAATTAAAGATAAAAGTGACATTTTTAGATTTCTGAAGAGTATTGCATGCAGCATCTCTCATTAAATTCAGTATGGCATACTTCAAAACTGAACTTTTCAATAATTTCAGTTTTAAAATGACAAAATTAATGTTAAACTAATCAATTTAATTAACGTGCAAAAAGACCCTGTCTCATTTTATCTGTTTGTTCCCCCTTGTGTGTCCTGCATTTTATTTTTACACTTACAGCACTTCTTTGTCAAGAAATTATAAATGCGTAGTAATAAAAGTACATCAGTTGTGTACTTCAGCTTTGCACTAACACTTAAGTGTTTTTTTGGGGTTTTTTGTTGTTTTTTTCTGGTGGGGAGGAGATTCTTATGAAATAAAGACAATTTATAACCTTTCTACCTCTGAAGGAAGTAAATAAAAAGGCTGTTCAGCAGCACGTTTGCACAAGAACATCTGATAATGATCTGATGTTATTTATGTAAAAAAAAACCATCTGCTGATGCAAATGTTCCCAGCATGCCTCTTTTAATCCTCTAAATCTGTATTTAAAAAACAACAACTAATGACTTGAATTTTGATGTTGTAATGCAACAAGTCTGAAAATGTGCAATCTGTTCAATATTTTTTTTAATTGCATGTTGTAATCTTTGTGTTGAATAAAGAAAGAAAAAAACGTCATTAGAACTGATAATGGATGTATATTTGTGTGTTTTACACAAAAAGCAGAACACGTTTTTACCGTTTTGAGAACACAACGGAAATAAAACCTCAGCACCGAAGTGTGCGACATGTTTGATGTGCTTGGACTGAAACAATGGCTGTACCAACTTCACTGTAAAGAGACTCGTGTGACTGAATAAATATAATAATAAACAATTAAATCTGATTAGTCTGTGTCAATTTACAAAAAAAATATTTTGCTCATAGATTTAGTTTTAAGCATATTTTGCTGAATTTTTGTGCAACATAAAGCTTCATTCTTTATTGCTATTCTTCAGTTATTACCAAAAAAAAAGGGTATAAATAAGATAAAAACTTAAAAAAAGTAAAGTTTGTCTTAAAAACGTGTAAAAGTAGAATATTCTTGAATCTTGTGCTGATGAGTCACACATGTCAGAATAAACAGTCAATCCATGTAATCCTCACATCAATGGGTTTGATGTTGGACGTGTTTTGCTGGATATCTGCACCACACGAGTCACGTGTCTTTATTCAGGTCAGGCGTTTTGCTTCTTCGCTCCCGTGTCTATTTCCGCTGCTTTGCGCACAACCTGGGGAAAGTGTCAAAAAACAGTTGAAAACCTTTTTAAACTACAAAACCTGCTGATTTTGTTGATTCAGTTTATCAAAGCTACACTTTTATCAAGTCCCTGCAGAAAATGTAAAATACAACCCCTGAAAAAAAAGATGAAATCACCAGTGTTGTGATTTTTTTTTAAATTCAGGATTTCGTATTTTTTTCTTTACTTGATCTAAAAAACTATTGTGACTGACTATACTTTTTTTTTCATATTTCTTAATACTAAAAGGTTGGGATTTTGAACAATTCTAGTTTTGTGATACATCAATGATGTATTTTGATACAAAATAAATGAAAAAACATCCTCCTAGAGTGATGGTTCCATAATTTTTGCCAAGGGTGGTCAAATATCACTTTGTAAAAAAAAAAAAAATTAAAAAATACTAATACTTTAATTTGAAAAATAACTATAATTATAAAAATTTAAACCTGCCTGCAGGTGTAGCTGTTCTGAACGAGGCAGTAAAGTGTTTTTGACCTTTGACAGTTTCTCTATAATATTTGGACATAAATACATTTATTAATCACTACCATAAACAAACACTTTGAAACTCACTCATTGCTGCTTTGATGAAGGAAACATAAAACCCTGTCTCCCCTCCAATATCATTGTGTTGTTTGTCAAATTTACCATATTTTCCGGAGTATAAGTCGCATCAGTCTAAAAAAGCATCATGAAGAAGAAAAAAAAAACATATATGTCGCTTTGGCGTATAAATTGCATTTATTATGTGTCACCGCTGACTCGTCGCATTTATTTATTGGTCAAAACAGCTTCATTTCGCCTTGGCGGCGTGGCGCCATCCATCCATCACAGCCGAAGCCACTAGTTCTCCAGCGTTCCTCCACCTGCACCAGCTAAGTGAAGCAAGCAAGCGCGGGAGGACTCGCTGTTGCAGTTCTTCAAAATTTAACAAGATTAACACCTAAAAACAATTATTTGTTTGCTCAACATTATAGCAAAGGTGTGTTTCAGTTTAACTTTTCCTTAATAAATACACTTTAATGGTCAAAACAACTTCAATTCGCCTGGGCGGTGCAGAACTATTCATCCTTCGCGGCCAGAGCTGCTAGCTCTCCATCGTTCCTCCGCCTGTACCAGCTGAGTGAAGCGAGCGTGCACGAAAGGACTCGTTGTTGCAGTTCTTCGAAATTTAAAGCATCAGTCAAAAATTGTATTATGAATATGGAAAAAAAAACGTATATAAGTCGCTTCAGCATATAAATTGCAGGACTGACAAATCTATGCAAAAAAACTGTGATTGATACGCCAGAAAATACGGTAACTGATAAACACTTCATTCTCGTAAAAAAAAAGAAGTGTTTTCTCACTTCCAGCAGGAAAGTTATAAAATTTTGCTGGAATTACTATGGAGTGCAAAACTGACTGCATTGGAATAGTATCATCATGAAACAATAAACTCATCGGCTTGTTAATCCATCATAATTCAACTATTTCTTCAAACTAAGATCCCTGAAAAAGCTATCTACAACAGGTAAGATATTTATTATTCATAATTAAAAAAAAAAAACAACTTCAAAAGATCTGAACTGTCCCTTCAAGCCAAATGAATTCCAATATATTTACAGGATTTAATATAAATTAAAAATATTACAGGTTTTCTTTTCATGTTGTTAGTCGATAATTTAGGTCAGTAACTAGTTGGTAAATGATGCAAGTCTGCGCATCGGTCAAGGCTGAGCAAACAAACCGAGGACTCGTGAACCCTTGCATAAATGTACACACGCTCAGGAACACAAACACACAAACGAGCGCATCCAGAATAACACCGGACAAACCTCAAGATGCCTCTTCTGATCCAGGACCTGCGCGTAAACCTTTGCCCCTTCGGGGATCACAGTGCAGAGCTCCTGTTCGGTCAGGGAGAACAGCTGCGCTCCAGTCAAAATTCCCAGGCACTCGATTGTCCTAAAGCGCACGTTGGGAATGAAAATCAAGCATCATAAGGTCATCTGAAGGCATGCGATGATCAACCTCTTAATTGGTATAATGACGTTTAAAAAAAGTAAATAATTTCTGTCCAACACTCACTGCTGAGTGAAGCTGTTGGCTGTGAGCCATGCCTCCACCTCAGCAGGGGGGGAGTGGTAGTTCAGGGGGACAAACGTGTCCACCGGTGGCTGATCAGCGGAGCTTCTCTGTTTCATGAGCCGCTGTAGAAGCTCGTCGTTCACAACCAGGACTGTACAAACGCACAAAAGATTTATAAACGTGTGGAATAAATCCTCAGCATGAGGAGCGCATTGAGTAGTACTCAGCAATATGGACGTACAAAGCAATAATCACAGCTCTGCCTTTAGTCAGAGGCGTGAACATTCATTTTTACAAGTTATTTTTAAAGGGAATAACTGATGTTTATCAGTCTTTAACCTTAAAGGGATATTCTGGTTGTTTTTTAAGTATTTTTTTGATAGGAGAAAATACATTTTTAGTTCAAAACATTTTTTTTTTTAATTTCCTGTCTTTTGTCTCTTGAATAACAATATTCTTCTGGACATTAATTCAAATCAGCTGACATAAATAATAACTTTTTAGCAACTTAAAGGCAGCCAAACACTACATACTGACAAGTTGGCAACTGTTTTTTTTTCAACAGAACATTGTCCGTATAACTACGTGAGAGCGTATGCGTGCTGAGCATGGACTGTAAATGTTGATGTCCTGACATGACTGAACGTCTCAGTCTGCCTGGAGGTCAGGAAACTTTTGACTAGATTTTCTGATCGGTCGAACTGATACTCAGCCACGGCATCATATGATACACACAGTCTTGGCTCGGAGCACGCACACATTACCACGCAAGTTGCTCGAATGAGAAAACGACAACAAACTAAACAAACAGCGTCATGAAAACGTGTCAAAGTTAAAGATTAGCTAATGTAGCGGGGAAGTTTCTACACTGGCATGATGTTTGAGAAAGATTTGTTTCAACGGCCTGAAAAATGATCTAAAATAGGCCCAAATACATGTAGTTAAAAAAGGAAAACACAGAATCCTCTGAGCTAAACCAACAATGTCTGTCCATTGGTTTAGCTCAGAAGACGTATTCTGTCTTTTCTTTTTTTAACTACATGTATTTGTGTAGCAACATGGATGTTGTTTAATTGACAAAACAGCAAAAAACTAAAGTGTCAAACCCACTTACAAAAGGGGCCAAAATTAAAACCTTTTTCAAACTAAGGGCCGGTTTCAGAATCTACATTAACTCAAGTTAGATACGCAACATCTTTTCTTGGTTGCAGGTTCCTCAACAAGAGTTTGATTGGTCTTATTTGAAGTTCTTTGTTGCACTTTTGACATCATAATCAAAGATTACTGAAAAAAATTCAAGTGATAAGTGATATTTTACATTTAAAATGTCATCTTGGGGGCCAGATAAGATGACAACGAGGGCCACATTTGGCCCCCGGGCCTTGAGTTTGACACATATGAACTAAAAAGTTGTTGTCAAACAGAAGTGTAAAAGTTAATTATTAGTTTTTGTAGCATTTTTGTTGTTGTTGTTGTTGTTTTTTGTATAAACATAAATATAAATAAAACAGCATAAAACATTTTTCTGACCATTTTGGCCTTCAGACTGTTTCTGTGAGTAACAAGATGGCCATCTGGCCTAAAACATTTAATGATATGCATAATGATCGATTGTTTGGGACAGATGTTCCTCTTTTTGTGAGTGTTAAAGCCAGTTTCTTGGTATTCAACGGGAGACTGGCTTGAAACACATCAATGAGGATGAGGGCTACTTTTGAGATAGATCTGGGTTGGCAGGCCTCAGACTGATGAAGCCTTTCGGATAAAAGACGAAACGTTTCTCCCAAAAAAGAAACTTGGGATTTATCAAAAAGGAAAGTCTTAAGTCCAGTCTTAAAACTGGATAATGTGTCAGCCTCACGGACAGAAACTGGAAGTTGGTTCCACAAGAGAGGAGCCTGATAACTGAAAGATCTTCCTCCCATTCTGCTTTTGGAAACTCTAGGAACCACAAGTAAGCCTGCAGTCTGAGAGTGTTGTGCTCTGTTAGGAAAATATGGAACAATATAATCTCTAATATAAGATGGAGCTAGGTTGTTGAGAGCTTTGTAGGTTAGAAGTAAGATTTTGAATTATGTTCTGGATTTGACAGGGAGCCAATGGAGAGAAGCTAAAACTGGAGCGATATGATCTCTCCCACTAACTCCAGTTAAGACTCTGGCAGCAGCATTTTGGATCAACTGAAGACTTTTTAAATAATTATTTGGACACCCAGATAACAAACCATTGCAATAGCCCAGTCTAGACGTGACAAATGAACAAACCAGTTTTTCTGCATAATTTTTAGAGGTTTCTAATTTTAGCGATATTACGTAGGTGGAAGAAAACTGTTCTAGTAACGATTTTAATGTGGGGGATAAAAGACATGTCCTGATCAAAAATGACACATAGATTTTTAACATTAGAGCTGGAGACCAGATTAATGTCATCCAAGGAGTGCGAAAGACTGAAAAACTCATTCCTAAAATGATCAGGTCCAAAAACCAAAACCTCAGACTTCAAAAGATTTGAAATGTATTTTTAGCTTTTCCTTAATTAAATATGGTAATTGTAACTCCAAAATATTTTGGTGTATAACTGTAAAATTGTATCAATATTCAAATATTTCTCTGTCAGGACTACTGAATGGTGTAAACGGCCATATTACCTCGATTCCCCTCTTCTCTGGCCATGGGTGTGGACTGTAGAACCATGCTCTGAGGTCGCATCACTGGGCTCGGAGCTGCCGAATCGCTCCTGTCTGAGCTAGATGGAGTGTACGAGTAACAGTTTGTCCGAGGGTTCTTGGCTGCTCTCTGTCATGAATAAGCAGGAGGGAATGAAAACGGTGTCAAACAAAAAACCGTAGTTGTGGAGCTACGTCCGCATTCGTACCTTTGAATCAGTTCGGAGCACCGGATTGTCTGTCTCTGCGTCGTTCACCGCAGACAGAGGCTCCAGAATATTATAGGGAAGAAATCCTATTTGATTATAGTGATTCCGACATTTCCACCAGCGCTTCGACGAGTCGAGGACCTGAGGAAAAAGAAGTCCAACTGATTAAAGTCTGCCAGGGATGAGATCGTGCTGTGGGTGCATTTACTGTACCTCCAGAGTTTCTCCTTGCAGCACAGAGAGTTCACTGCTGTTTCTGGCCACAAAGTCATAATTGCAGCGACAAAGTTTCTGCGGGAGCGTGTTTCCATCTCTGAAATGAAAAATACAAAAGTTCAAAGAAACATGTTGCCTACCACGTTTCATGCCAGAGTTTTTATTTTAATAGCACCTTTCTATCTTAATAAGATGCTCAAATTACTTTACACTAAAACCTGTGCTCTTATTTACCCATTCATACAGCACTCTATTAGATCTATACAAAGAATAATCCGTGCTTTATCACATTCATACACCGATGATACACACGTCAGAGGCAATGAGGGGTGTCTTGCCCAGGGTCACTTCGGCATGTGATGGTGGAATCGAACCCCCAACTCTTGCATTGGAAGACGACTGCTCTAACCACTAAGCCACAGACGCCCAATGTTTAAGAACATCTTGTGTTGAGAAATGATGGTGTTGGCCTTAAAAATGGTGCTACACACAATTGATGCAATTTCATGAGATGTCACGTTCAGAGTATGAGTTGTGAATGACTTTAAGCTGCGACCGCATCAAATTTGAGCTAAATATGTATAAATGTATTAAGTAAGGACATATCTGTGCAACACATCTTGAATTGAACTGACTCCAGACGTTAATCAGTTGTAGGCAGACATAAACATAAGATTAGACTTTAATAATATTTTCCTGATTATTTCACCAGATTTAGGAGATTTTGTTGCCTCTCGTTACACATCCTGTAAAATACTCTTCTTCAGTGTCTTCAGTCTTACATTATATTTGTGCCGTCGGCTGTAGGTGGAGGTTGTGTCTGTAGATGTTGTCTCTGCATCCTTTCTCTGGCCACGTCCTCTTTGTGCTGTAACTGGATGGGATCTTCTAGTTGTCGACCAGTTGAGTCAAAAGCCTGAGGCTTCCACCCATCCAGGAACACGGGAGAATACAAAGGTACCGATTTACTGAGGCCCGAGCTGAGCAAGAGGAAGCAAGGAGGTTAGAACAGTGTGTTACTCTTGATTCAAGCAATAGACCATTTCTGTAACAATATAACAGGATATTGTTCTAGCCTGGAGGAAGAGTTTTGCCCTTTTCTTCACACTGTGCTCTATGACTGACATCACAGCTAACAACAGTCCTAATTACTATAACTATTAAGCAGAGCATCACTTCAAAACCAACCAGAATGTTCTATAAAGCAGAGTTTAAAACACACAGACCAGGGTGAGGTCCAGTTGGTTCCTAATGATGTCCACAGCTCTTTTTCCTCTTCATTCAGGTGCTCCTGGAGCAGAGAAACAGCCCCCCTGGTCATAGCCGGACTGACCACCGATGCGCCTAACGTTGGCCCTCCAGTGGTTTTCACAATCTTTTAAAACAGAAGATTTATTCTTCTTAAATTAAGATCACAGAGATGGAAGTAAATAATTTGATTTTTTGTTGAATAAATAAAAATAATAATTCACCAGGTTGAGAGGCACAAAGATGTAGTGCAGCAGATTTGGAGCATCCGGCTGTGAGATGACTGGCTTGAGACGGTCCTGAATTTAAGAAAAAACAAAACAGTTACTTCAACGTTTGTTTACAGTTAATTCAATCCAGAATTATTCTTCGGATAATGACGTGTTACCAGCAAACAGATGGAGTACTTTATTTTCTGAAAGACGTTTATAAAGTCTCCTTCTGGAGGAGGGTCCGCTTTGGTTGTCAACAGATCGGCCACTGAAAAACAAAATGCAAACACAACTACAACCAAAGCACAGAGTACGACTGAAACATGGACACAAAACAACCCTCGCCTAATGTTTAAAAATTAACTTGATTTATTTTGTTAATCTCAAACAAGATTCTAAATAAATCTAAGACGTCACTTTGTGAAAAATCCAGAAAGAAAAACTAACAACCAGCGTTTAAGACAAACAAAGGAGGTTTGTGGCAATGTGAACTACTCTCAGCTACTACCACACCAAGCTCAATATCTGTACTAACTTAATGAAATGTAATCATTTTTATGTTTGCTAAGGTTTCTTAGCTCTGGCAGCCATTTTGAATCAAGTTGACTCCAAAAGGTCAATGAGTTGATCATTCACTGATTAATTTTTGAGAGTTTCATTAGAATCCATCCAGTGGTGCGCGAGTCATTTTGCTAACAGACAGATGACCAAACATCCACAAGCAAATACATGATTGCCCCTTTGTCATGGCAATAACCAAGGCAAGAAACTACACAGCTCTGCTGTTTGTCTTCTTGCGTTTATGTCTGAAAATACGCTATCGACTTATTTTAACGTTCCATTTGTCACTGAAATCGTCATATATTTTCTTATTTTTGCACATTTGTAAGCTTCCTTCATCCTCCTTCAAAATGTGTACCTTTTAATTTGGGAGGAAAAACATGCCCAAACTAATGATATACATATACAGTATTTATGAACTAAAAATAGGTTGGAATATAATAATAACCTGCTGAGTGCTAACGCAGAAGTTCAGATGGCTATAATAAAATACCACAGTAATATGAGAAAGGTGAAAAGATGGGGAAAATGCTGAGCTGGTTAATACAAGAACAAGAGAAAACTGTTAAGATGACTAAAAATAAAGAGGATAAAGTAGTGAGCAATATCTTTGAAATGAATAAATGCTTTGAAAATGATTGTAGAGATCTGTACAAAACAGATAGATCCAAACAATAAGCTGAGTATGAACTTTAACCAAAAAAAAATGCTCTCAGAGGAGATGAAAGACAGCCTAGATGTAGATATTACAGAAAAGGAAGTACTCACTGCTATCTGGATGTTAAAACAAATAAAGCTACAGGACCAGATGGTTATCTGACAGAAATTTCAAAGACATTTGGTAACTTTCTGGTACCATCCCCCCCACCCCCCACCCCCTTTAGAGAATCCTTTAAAAATGAAAAAATATCAAAAACATTAGAAGAAGCATCTATTAATGGTTTCCTAACACCTGGAAAGGATGAACAATTAAGTTCTATAGCTCCTATAGAAGACACATTTTCTTAAATGTCTCATTTAAAGTACTAACCAAAGTTTTTGCTGATAAATTGGAAAAAATAATAGGATAATTGATTCATATTGTATATGATATGTACGTATAGGTGTATATGATTGCATATATATCTTAGAATGATCAGAAGACGCCGCTGAATCGAGAGTTGTGATTGCGATGGATGCTGAATAAGCATTTGACTGTATTGAATGGTAATTTGTTTTTAAATTTTTGCAAATGGTGAATTTTGGAGATGCTTTTTTAAAATGGGTAAACAAGTTATATAGAGCACCTGTAGTGAGAGTCATATAAAATGGCATAGCATCAAAACCTTTTTCTCTGGAAAGAGGGTGCAGAAAAGGCGATCCCTTATCACCACTCTTATTTACCAAATCAAACACTTGGCAGCTGCTTTACAATTAAGGTATTAAGAAAATTCAAATTCATAAACAAGAATTTAAATCATTATTATAAGCTGATGATTTATTAATATACATATCCACCCACCCCTCACCCACCCCCCAAAAAACTCAATACATCACCTAATGTTGCTTTTAGAAGAGTATAGTAAATTATCAGGTTATGAAATAAATAGTGAAAAAAAAATGAAATGATGCCTGTAAATAAAGAGGCTATGATTCAGTTACCTCATGTGGCACATTTTAAATGGAGTCCTAATGGATTTTGATATTTATGTATTAATAAATGCAGAGTTTTAACTCATCCATCCATCCATCCATCCATCTATTATCTTTTACCCACTTCTTTCTTTCTGGGTCACGGGGGTCACTGGTGCCTAAATGTCCAGCTATCACTGTGCAGGAGGCAGGGGACACCCTGGACAGGTCTCCAGTCCATCACAGGGACAGAGACAAATAACCATTCACACTCTCACTCACACCTAGGGACAATTTAGAGTTACCAATCAGACTAACATGCATGTTTTTGGTCTGTGGGAGGAAACTGGAGTACCTGGAGAAAACCCACGCATGCACGGAGAGAAGGTGCAAGCTCCACCCAGAAAGGCCCCAGACTGGGATTTGAACCAGGGTAACCTGCTCGCTGAGAGGCAGCGGCTCTACCAGTTGCGCCACCGTGCTGCCCCAATTGATTGTCCAAAAATAACCTGGAGACAGTAATACATGCATTCATTACATCTAGGCTTGATTACTGCAATTCACTCCTGTTTGGTATCAGTCAGACCTCCATTGCACGACTACAACTGGTCCAGAATGCAGCAGCACAATTTTTAACCAGTACATGCAAAAGAGAGCACATTACACCAGTTTTGGCCTCCCTGCACTGGCTACTGGTCAACTTAGAATCCAGTTCAAAATACTCCTGTATGTCTACAAATCGCTGAACAGTCCCCCCCC